TATATATATATGATATCAGATCATTATAAATATATATATATATATACACATAACATACATAATAATCATTACCATTTTTCCCCATGGTTGATGCTTATATCACCTATTGCAACGTCCAGCTGGCGCGCGCCTTGGAGCGCCGGAGCTCCTTCAACAGCTGATCGCGCTTCACTTCGCTGATGGCTGAGGTCAAACGTGGCAGAAGCTCCTGGTGACCGTTGCTACAAAGCCATGGCCATGGAAAGTCTATATCTATATATATATATGTCATTTATTTATCTATGGCTATATATGGAATACAGCCATGGAATATACATATATGTATGTATGTATGTATGTATGTATGTATGCATGCATGTATGTATGTATGGTCGCGGTCTGAGTCGGCAACCAAAAGGGCTGAGTCGGCAACTATGAGTCGGCAACCAAAAAATGGCTGAGTCGGCAACCAAAACCAGTCTGAGTCGGCAACCAAAAGCGCTGAGTCGGCAACTATGAGTCGGCAACTAAGAAAGCGCTTATGTTCTGGCACATCTTCTGGCATTCTATCTGACATTTTATCTGGCATTCTATCTGGCATACCTTCTGGCATTCTATCTGGCATATCTTCTAACATTTTATCTGGCATACCTTCTGGCATTCTATCTGGCATATCTCATGGAATTTTATCTGGCATATCTTCTGGCATTCTATCTGACATTCTATCTGGCATATCTTCTGGCATTCTATCTGGCCGTTGAGGTCCAGCGGTGCACACTGAGCTGGGCAGGTCCCAGGTTGAGGTCCAGCGGTGCACACTGAGCTCGGACTGGCGAAGAGTTGGCAAGGCAACGGTGGACGTGGAAGTGGAGGCAGAGGTGGTGGAGGAGATGCTGGCGGAGGAGGACCAGGAGGAGCAGGAGGAGGATAGCTAGCCGAGGAGGAGGAGGAGGAGGAGGAGAACAACTGTGATAAAATCTAACAACCCTCACCTGGCAGGTGGGGAACAAGCGGTGGAAGTGCTTGGACAATCGATCTTGTCTACCTCTGTGTATACGTGAAAACATCTCTCTTTCCAAATCAGCCGAAGCACTGAAGCCTCCGCCCACCGGACGGCTCAGTTTCTCTGTCTCCTGCGGGCCGAAGCAAGCAGCCGTGATGCACACCCTTGTGACAAAGGAGAACATTTGCCGCAGAGTGCGTTCCACATGTCACAGACGGGGCCTCATTGGCCGACGCAGCACCACCTCCCGCAGGTGGTTTCGCCAGCTCCTCGGCACATGATGCGCCAGGGAACAATTTGGTTGCAGACATGAAAAAGTTCCGTGCCAGATATAGCACGATCGCACCACGCAGAAAGGATTGTTTGGAACAGTTGTCACGCATAATTTACACTATGTCAAGAAAAAACGTGAACTATCGCTATGGCAGGTAAGATGGTAGCTATTGTGTTCTGTCCTGCTTCCCTTTTCGTGTCCTCGACTTCTTGATTTGCTTAACCTGGCACCAAGATTGTCCCAAGTAAGAATGAGGCTTTCACCTCACATCTCATGTGCACTAGTCACTCTGCAAGGGACATGGCATTGGTATCAAAAAATAGGAGAAAAGAGACCCTAAGAGTGAACGGACAGCAAGTAAACCGTGGCATGTCTCTGGGGAAGATCTGAATACAAATCGTGCAGCCAAAGTGCAAGTCGCGATTTTCTCACACCAGTCGCTCTTGGATCCTGCTCCGACTCGAGCTTACGACCACCAACTTCTTTCCAAGAGATTCAAAAAAGGCAAGGTCTGTTATCTACCTACTGACTCCCCTACTTTTTCTGTTTGGTCTCACTTCTAGATCGGTCCCCTGCTGTCCTTTTTTTGGAGCTCTCCACATCTTTGCCACTGTCGCAAGTTGCCTCCTCTGTCGCAAGTTTCTCGATCGCCGCCGAAGGTACCTGCAATGCAAACCAACTTCAAATATTTGAGGAATTCACGAGATATTTGGCTGCAACGCCATTGCAGCCATTGTTGCACTAAGACTTCCTAAACTCAGACAAACTACAATCTTTGCATGAAAGATGATACCTCAAAATCTTTGCTAGCATACTCGAGTTCTCCCAAACAAGCACCTGCAGACGGTTTTCTTGTGTCTCACTCCAGGTGGGCTTTCTCTCTTACATCAAAATGTCCCATACTGACAGCTGAATCTGCACAAGAAGACAAGAACTATCCCATTAGCAAGCATGTAGCCAGTGTCTCAGAAGCAACTTGCCTCATCCATCGGAGGGTGCTCGATTGCTTGCGAAGGTATCTGCAAAACAAATGAACTTCACATGTCGGAACATGTCACGAAAGATGTGCTCGCAACGCACTGGAAGCCATTGTTGCAAGTTTTCCCAAACAAGCACCTGCAGACGGTTTTCTTGTGCCTCACTCAAGGTGGGCTTTCTCTCTTACATCAAAATGTCCCGTACTGACAGCTGAATCTCCCATTAGCAAGCATGTAGCTCAGAAGCAACTTCCCTCATCCATCGGAGGGTGCTCGATTGCTTGCGAAGGTATCTGCAAAACAAATTAACTTCACATGTCGGAACATGTCGCGAAAGATGTGCTCGCAACGCGCTGGCAGCCATTGTGGCAAGAAGAAAATCATACCCAGCAAGCAAGTTCCAATCTTTGCATGAAAGGTGATAGCTGAAGTGTGTGCTAGCAAGCTCGGGTTTTCCCAAAGAAGCACCTGCAGAGGTTTTTCTTTTGCCTCACTCCAGGTGGGCTTTGTAGTATGTCCCAGACGTACAGCTTTCTCCAGACTAGACATGAAAAACGTATCGCGAAGTATCTTGCCTCATCTATCTGAGGGTCCTCGATGTCGGCCGAAGGTACCTGCAATACAAGCCAGAGTTGGAAAACGAGAACGTCACAGAATGATGTGGGGAGCCAAAAACACATATCACATATGTCTATGGCTGAGAAGCTTCAGGCCCAAGAAAACAAAGACCTCTACATATATAATTGTTCAATCTTAGTCAGTCCATGCGGACAAGCACCCTGATAGCTCGGTTCCAAAGTTACCAAAAATGCTAGCTAGCGCAATGGCTACCTACATCCACCACCGTGTTGTTTCAATGCGTCAGAATGTCATTGAAATCCGTTAACTCAGCTGGCCTCTCGGGTTCTGGCCGCCGGGCGTTTGATGGCAGCAGGACGTTTTTTTCGCCCCCATGGCCAGTTTGCGTATGGACAGCAAAACAAAGTATGCAGCGTATAGACCATTTGATCGGTGCACGCACTCTATGTGCATTCTTTCGGAGCAGCTTTTATTTTGTTTTGTAGCCTGCGATCTTCTGTTCCGCAGAATGCCAACGCAACAAGTTAGACATATGGATATGTATATGTATATATTTATATATGGTTATGTAGTTGTACTCGTAGTATATATATATATATACCTATGTATGTATTGCATTTATATATGTATATCGAGTCTATATCTAGATCTATATGTGGAAGTAGGGCGCAGCCAAGCCGGGGGACGGAATATTCAAATGCAGGAAAGTGATTTCCTTCAAGAGGTCTAAAACAGTGTTGGAAGGAGCATAGTCGAGAGATCTCAGGCAAGTTGTTGCAAGTTCTCTTTGTCAGAGGCCTTTAAGTCTGCCGTCTGCTCAAACTCTCCAGAAGAGATCCTTTAGCAAGATCTCTGTTCTCATCACACGGTCTCTGTACAAGATCTGCACAAGAGGTCTTTTGGTAAGATATCTGTACAAGCTGTCAAAACAAAACATCTCCCGGCAAGATCTCTGTAAAATATCTCTGAGGAAGGTCTCTCTTCAAGCTATCTGCACAAGGTCGCTATGCGAGATCTACTGGCAAGATGCCTGTAAAGCTGCGCGAAAGCTCCACAAGAGTTCTATTGGTAAGAGCTATGTAAGAGACCTCTTGGCTAGATCTCCGCACCAGTGTTCTATTAGAGCTCTCTTGGCAAGGTCTATGTAAGAGACGTCTTGGGAAGATCTGAGCTGATGCAGTGATGTGGTGACGTGGTGTTTTAATGCTGTGATGTGATCATGGTGATGTGGTGATGTGGCCACGGTGGTTATTTAACTTTACATGTGTAATTTCCGCATCTCATGCTAGAGGACTCATCTGCGTACATGAAAGTGACTCACCTGCGCACTGGATCCCGGGCTCATCTTCGCACAGGAAACAGAGACTCACACACACAGGAAACAGACGCACCTGCGCACAGGATAGCATGTATGCGACTCTAACCTTTAGGTGTATAAAGCAGGGGAAGGGGGGTGGAACAGGGGAACAGGGGAACAAGGGTGAACAAGGGGGGAACAGAGCCGTGGAAGAGGGGAACAAGGGGGACAAGGGAAGGACAAATGTGGATGATGACAATGATCTTGATGACCATGTCTATCATGATGATGATGAAGAAGAAGAAGATGATGATGATGATGAGGAGGGGTATCACGATGATGATGATGATGATCATCATCATCATCATGATGTGGATGAGTCAAAGGCCATCCCGCGCATAAACCTTCCTCATCCCGGAGTTTAGACATATAACATTCCTTTGGTTATGTTTTGATATGTGCTGTATAAATAAAATATACGTGTATATATATATATAGAGATATATATATATATATTATATATTATATGTATATATTATCTATACTTCCTTTGAAGGCCTCTTGAGACCCTGAACCGCCACACAGCCAGATTCGTTGCCCTCTTTCCAACCATGTTGACTTTCCCTTCCAAAAGCAGTGTCAAACGCAAAGCACATGTGTCACGTTTTATTGGGTGGGTTGAATGCCGGTCTGAATCTCAAAATGGTGGTCTGCTAGACTCTGAAACGCCACAGCAAGGTTCATTGCCATCTTTCCAACATGTTAACTTTACTATCCAAAAGCATTGTCAAACGCCAAGCACGTGGCCTCAGCCTTTTTTTGGGGGGTTGAATGTCGGCATGAAGCAACTTGAATCTGAGAATGGTGGTCTGCTTTTTCCTTCGTCCAAATTCAGACGCTTCGTGCTGCAACCGGTGAGGCCAGCAAGGCACTGATTTCAGCCTTGTCTTCGCTTCTCTTGCGTTTGCGCTCCCGCGTCCTGGCCTCAGCCTTTTGCTGGATGAAGGCCAGTGTCTGCCACGCACTGTCTGGCGGTAGCTGTGCCGTGCGTCCGCCACTGACCCGTTTTCGTAGACGTTCTTCACACTCTTCCCATGTGCGAGGTCCATCCTTTTCAGGTGACGTGCAGGTGTTCATGTCCTAGTTTTGTGATGAACGTGTGCAGTCAACGCTTGAAACTGACCAATGCATGAATGGCAGCCTTTTGGGTAACGTGGAGATCAATCGAAGTATTGAGGCTTGGGGAACCATGTTCTTACCCCTTGTACATCTCAATATATTTGATAAGTGTCCACTTTTTTTGTGCCAAAGATAACAACATGTAGCCAGCTGTTGATTCTAGCCTTATGGGTGGCTTCTTCCATCGAAGCCATGCTGACATCACGGTCTCCACTTCTCCATCTGATGAGCAAGCTGTGTGGACACAGGCCGTGCTGACTGAAGTGTCGACCTTGGATTGATAAAGCATGCCAGGGTCAAGATTGATCTTATTGTGACACATGCCAAGAATGGCAGAGGGAAACAAGGAGAGCTGCTTCACGCAAGGTTGAACATAAAAATCTTTGAGGTCAGATCGGTAATTTTTTTCGCGGGATGGACGGAGTCTGGAGCTCCAACATTTGTCTGCCAAGATACATGTGCACAAGAAGTCGGACCCCTGGTGGCGCCGTTCGAGGTCAAGCACCACAGACAAATCTGCTGTAAGATTGCGAATCTTGGGCAGACTCAGGCGTTGGCCATAAGACAAATCCTTGGTCAGATTCAACTTCTTCGCGGCCCGCCACCAAGTACCTTCGTCCGAAGTGGCGAGCAGCAGTACGACTTGTTTGGCCGTAGAGTCGTCCACAGTCATTGCCACATCGAATGTCGGCAGGACCCAAGCTTTTCGGCAGCGCATGCCTTGCACCACTTTTGCCTCAACCTCGCACCGTGCTGCGCCTTTATTTTAAACGGGAACGGGGACTTTGCAGTAGTAGCTGTACCCCTGCTTCAACGTCTATGTGTGCAAGGGTTCGTGTGCCATTCTTGGTGTGCGCGTGCCAGGGAACGTTAATATCCCACCCCACCCCACCCCACCCCTACTTCACCTGCGCCTCTATTTTAGAGGAGAAAGGAGCCTTGAATCCGTGCTGCGCCTTTATTTTGATGGAGAGTTTTTGGTTGCTGAAAAGGTCCTTTTTTAGTTGCTGACTCGGTTGGTCTTGGTCGCTGACTCGGTCGTTCTTGGTTGCTGACTCGGACGTTCTTGGTTGCTGACTCGGTTGGTTGCTGACTCGGCTGCTTTAGTTGCTGACTCTTGGTTGCTGACTCGGGCGTTCGTAGATGCTGACTCGGTTGTTTTTAGTTGCTGACTCGTAGTTGCTGACTCGGTTGGTTGCTGACTCGGTCAATGTTCATGTATGTGTTCATGTATGTATGTATGTATGTATGTATGTATGTATGTAATGTATGTATGTATGTATGTATGTATGTATGTATGTATGTATGTATGTATGTATGTATGTATGTATGTATGTATGTATTTATGTATGTATGTATGTATGTGTGTATGTATGTATGTATGTCTGTAATGTATGTAATGTATGTAATGTATGTAATGTATGTAATGTATGTAATGTATGTAATGTATGTAATGTATGTAATGTATGTAATGTATGTAATGTATGTAATGTATGTAATGTATGTAATGTATGTAATGTATGTAATGTATTTAATGTATGTATTGTATGTAATGTATGTATGTATGTATGTATGTATGTATGTATGTATGTATGTATGTATGTATGTATGTATGTATGTATGTATGTATGTATGTATGTATATACACATTTTTATTTATAACTATAATGATATATATATATATATGGGAAAATCTCATCTATAATGTGGATGATAGTGGATGTATATGCTCAGAATGTTCCGAACAAATAATGAACATATATCCATGGTATATCATGGTTACTGTATGTTTCTTACTCAGATTCATCCCAGTTATAAGTAGGACAAGTAAGGTGAGTCAAATTATAACTGGGGTGAACTGCCCACTTGCTAACTGGAGTGCGGTTTAATTTCTTGGCGTTGCTTCACCCCATAAACTAGATAGAAACATCTACCATAACTGACTGCATCTAAGACAGATCAAGGTGCTGCCCCTTAATGATTAAGTTATGTGTGTTGTTTTATCAAGCCATCTAACTGTAGTCATTATAGACTATAGCCACCATAAACCCTGGAGAAATATGATAACCCATGTAGCTGGGGCATCACCTAAGTTAACGCGTCCAAGTGAGCAGGGTTTTAAAAGCCTTCTACAGGCGCCAAATGCCAAACACCTAGATCTACAACTGCATGTTATATAGTATTTATTGGTATATCCATATGCATGTTTTACTTAAATATACTTAACTCTTTTTGTGTCCAGTGGGACGTACATACCAACTGAAGGAATTGTATATTCATATGTGATTGCATGCGTGCACTGTAAACAAACTGGATGCATGAGACTGAATACATGTGGAATGTCTGTCGGATATATCGGATACATATATATATATATGGTTGTATCTATTGTAGATCTACAATGGTATGCATAGATATCATGCCACTATTTCCTTACTCCCCATTGCTTTTGATATCTTTTGCACTTCACGGCACTGAGTCAATACATGTCAATTCAATGCCGTACCCAGTCAAACAAGAACATGCACCTAGGCCCACACAATAGTGTCATGTCCAAACCCATTTCCCTCAGAAAGAAAACCTGCTCATTATCCATTATCCATTATCATTATCCACTATCCATTATTATCCCATTTATAATGTCTAGGAGTCTAGGACCATGGCAAAAAGGGATAATAATGGATCCTGGAAACACACGAAGCAGACATGAAAAAAAACAACTGCAACAGTCGACCAGTGACGACCATAACCACCGCCCCACCCTAGCCGCCACCACCATTGTCACAACCACAATCAAAACCAAAACCACAACAACAACCACCGGGAGAATGACTCCAGCAGTCGCAATGACATGATGCAACTCCTGCCGATTGGCCACACGTTGCTCGTTGGAAGCAAAGCGTTCAGAGTTTGCGAGCTCGTCTTGACCCAGAATCTGGCAGTGACAAAGCAACGTTACATGAGAACAGCAAAGAAAAAAGAGCGAAACAAAGCAGGGCTGGTCTCAAATGATCAAAAACTCCTTTCAAGCCTGCTGCTACTGAGAGTCCTCTCGCTTCCTTCTGAAAAGTGGCACTTGTTCCTCCCGTTTCAATGTGACAGTCACGTACCTTGCACAGGCTCCGGAATTGTGCGTCCGAGCCAACCTAGGGCAAAGCAATTCATGGATCGGTGCTGCTGTCCCATCAAACTCAAAACTGCGACCCTAGAGTTTTGCCCATCACAAACCCCTCATAACTCATAATTTCAATGACTGGATCATGACTAAGTCTTGCGCTGCCAATATGATTGGCAAATCATCCTGGCATTGAGTCTGAACTTGTAGGAGCAGCCACGCGAGACCATGAAAGCAGTTGGCTCAAATGGGTTTGTCATGGTTCGTCTGAAAATGAGGTATTCCACTGGTTGATCATCATTCAGAATTGCCGTTTGGAGGATACGGACACAATTTTCAGACACACACACACACTGATGGCACCAGGTGCTCATCGCACGAGTTTCCGTGCTCTCAGCACATCATCTTAACTGCCTGGTGGTTTACGAACCCCTCTGAAAAATATGAGTTCGTCAGTTGGGATGATGACATTCCCAACTGAGTGGAAAATTATAAAATGTTCCAAACCACCAACCACATAAAGTCGAACACCCGCCTGGTCGTAGAAGACAGTGCCATAAGGACAAATCGAAGGATGATCCTTGCTGGATTTCGGACTCGAATTGACTCGTGAGGTCAAATGGAGGTTTCACCAACAAACATTGGGATAGAATCGGATATAATGGGATATACATGGCCTCTGAACATGGGCTTGTCCCAAAATGGGGGGCATGCTTCCAACATGTTCTCTGAATAGGGAATGTACTATGACTAAACTTAGACTAAACTTACTAAATATGATTGTTTGGAGGATTTTGGGGGACCCTACTCAAAGTTCTGCAGCAAAGGCATGGTTTAAAGAAAATCAACACAACTCCTGCAACTGCGCAAGAAATCTTCGGACATAGGACATGATAAAGGAGCAATTACAGGGGTGGCTGATGTTCCTTCATGTTTGTTGAAATTTATGTTGCTACAATGATTGAAATACCGGTCAAGTGACTTGCTCATTCTTTCAACTGCGAACTATGGCACTGGGAAATCCCTACTAATGGAGATGGGACCCTGGGAACATCCAGCAACCAAGTCGCAGAGCCCATGCGCTGCGGTACATGTCCAGCAACCAAGTAGCCAGTTGCCTAGAACAGCCCCGGTAGAACAGCAACCGGAGAATTAGAACAAACTAATCTCATCTAATCTCACCCATTTTCATCCAAAATATTCCAAAATAATGTTCAACACAACGGATGGCTTCTGCGCGGTGTTTCATATTTTAGGGGGATGGGCTTTTGTTGGTATGATCTTCCATTAATCCATCAATCCACCACATCTCCTTGAAATTCACGTATATCATTTCTCCATATATGAGGGTGTGTCTGAAAACGGCCAGTATACAATATCAATACTTGGATGATTGATCATTGGACTAAATATACCCTCCAGTAAACTAACATAGCTATTGAACATGGGCCATTGATGTACATGATGTACCTACGTATCAAAAGTTGTGTTTTTTTCATGGTTATAAGTTATGTTAGTCTACAAGAGAGTATTTTTAGAAAAACACATACCTGCCATGCCAACACATGACAGGCGATACGGCGATACCGCACCTGATTGGCCAGTGATGACACCGCTGCAGCCATCAGCGATACGTGAACATGAGCACCTTTGCCGCAAGGACGGCTTCACAGCTAAACTCTCCTGCAGATTCACATAGAAGGGTCTACATCTAGCGGCTTAGCGCACTTTGATTGACGATTTCTTCGCGAAACACGGTAGTTGAAAATGCAAAACTCCGCCAGCCTTGGGGCCTAAGGTTGAGAACACACAGAATCACAGTCCCCTGTGGTGCACCTTCCCCCGTCTGGTGACGTTGCAATAAGGCGAGCAATATCGCCTGAAGTGTCTATAGCGGGGTCAAAACGCGAGAAAAAAAAAAGGTGGGTTTTCACATCAGAATAGCCAGTAAATGGATGGACATTGGCCCGCTCATCTCCCCAAAATATAGTATACATCCTCACCATGCCATGAATCAGTCATGCGAAGCTGCGTGAAGCTCAGCAGAACTGGAAATTGCCGTCAGGCAGGAATGCGAATAAACACAAGCTATCTTGTCTGCCACAAAAGATCTGTAGGTTATACACCCCCAAAGGCGGTACATCAGCCTCCATAAGACCTGTAGGTTGCCAACATACAGCCCCAAAGACGCTTCAGCAATCCCGATAAGAGCCAACATCCAGCCCCAGAGGCGGTTACAGCAACCTCCATCAGACCTGTAGGTTGCCAACATACAGCCCCAGAGGCGGTTCAGCAATCGGGTTGAGCAACCTCTATAAGACCTGTAGGTTGTCAACATACAGCCCCAGAGGCGGTTACAGCAACCTCCATCAGACCTGTAGGTTGCCAACATACAGCCCCAAAGCCGGTTCAGCAACCTCCATCAGACCTGTAGGTTGCCAACATACAGCCCTCAATAAGACCTGTCGGTTGCCAACATACAGCCCAGAGGCGGTTCAGCGACCCCCATCAGACCTGTAGGTTGCCAACATACAGCCCCAAATGCGGTTCAGCAACCTCCATCAGACCTGTAGGTTGCCAACATACAGCCCTCAATAAGACCTGTCGGTTGCCAACATACAGCCCAG